AAATAGTTGCTATTATGGTGGGGACTCCTTTGGGCGAAATACATGTAGCTGCAGTGTATCTACCACCAAAACTGCAGCTGAGCTAGATTCAATTCTCTCCTTGATCAGCTTGGTCAAAAATTCATCGTTGGGGGCGACTTCATTGCCAAACACAGGCTGTGGAGAAGCTACAGAGCTGACAGCAGAGGCATTGCGCTGCATGAAGCGCTCACCAGCTGCTCAGCCCAGGTCTTGGCCACCGGGAGACCTACCTACTTCCCGTACAATGGGCAAAGTACTCTTTCGCGCATTGACTTCTTTATATACAAGGGTATCCCAAACAGCGTAATATCAGTTCGCGAAGAGTATGAGCTGTTATCCGAACATCTACCACTCCTTGCAACGGTCTCTACGTCTGTTCAAAGAACCCCAAAAAAGCGAAGGCTTGTCACCCTCCAGCCGAACATACAACGCTTCAAAGCTGAACTAAATGGACTTATAGATCTAAACATGCAGAACATGACAGCCGAGTATGACGACGCTGCAGTTGAAACACTGTTGGATTAAGTACATACCGCGGCTGCCAACGCTGCGCCAGCAGAAATGTACTCTACTCTTACAAGTCAACTTACAAGGACGCTTCCCCCCATCGTTGAAGGCCTTCTTTTCCTGAAAAAGCGACTGATGAGGGAGTTCGTCCGTACCCAGGATCGACAGGATCTATCGCCGTATCGCCAACAGGTTCAGGAAGGAGCTAACTTTACTGAAAAAAAAAGCCTCTTGCTGGAGAAAGCAACGGCAGACGAGAGCTCCGAATCCGCGCTGTGGAAACTTACCAGTAGATACAAGCGGCAAGCTGCTCCAAAGTTCCCCGTTCGACATCCCAATGTCACTCACGGTGTCACCAATCACCTTCCAAGAAGTGAAGCAGGAGATAAAGAGCCTAAAAACAACAAACTCTGGGGAAGATCGGTTGGACAACCAGACAATTAAGCTACTACTATACAAGGCGGTGCTTTTTCTCGTCCCCATTTTCAATGCAACTTTTCGGCTAGGTCACTTTCCAGTGGCCTGGAAGAAGGCACATATCATTATGTTGCACAAGAGCGGAAAGCCCCCTAATCAACTGATATCCTGTCGCCCCATCAGCCTCCTGCCTGACTTTGGTAAGACTCTGGAAAGGTGCATCCTGAGTAGGATCCTGGATACCCCGGAGATAAAACGCTTAATCCCGAAGTTAAAGGTTGGGTTTCGACTCAAACACGGTACTCCTGAGCAACACCATCGGGTCTCAAACATTATTTTGGACACAATGTGCTACTGTCACTCACACCCTCCGCAAAGATTCTTGCCCCGGACTTTTTCTCCATGGCGAGTTCTTAGAGCAGGTTGAGTAGCTCTGGACAGACGCCTTACATTCACGAAACATGTCACCGAAATAACCAACAGCATAAAAATGAAAATCAGGAGTTTGAGCTGGCTACTGAACCCCAACAATAAACTCTTACTCTGAAGCAAGGTCCTTATATATAAAGTGATCCTTGCCCCTGCGTGGCAATATGGGCTCAAAGTTTACGGTATTGCCGCAAAAAGACACCTAAACAAAGTTCGCATCATCCAGGCCAAGAGCTTGCGAAAACGTTCCGGAGCCGAAAGGTATATTTGTACACGGGACATTGCAAAGGACCTTAAGGTCCCAATGATAGGTGACGTTATCAACGGTCAAGCAGCGAACTACATGATAAAGTTCCGCAACCACCCTAACGTCCTGGCAAGGAACCTGCTAAGGAGGTGAAGAAGAAGAAGGCTTAAAAAGACCTATCCTATAGACCTGGCCAAACGACGCCTCTAATGAAGCAAAATAAACATATACATAAACATCCTACACAATGTTAATATTTAAATTAAGCTATCTTTAACCAAAGCTACTTTTTCTATGAACGCCGATCCTCACGTTGATGAAAGTTGCTAATCTACAGTAACTGCATATCAGCTGTAAATTAAAGAATTTTAATCCCAAAACAAAAACCATACAAACGTCACAGCCAGTGTCAGAGAGATCTGTTTTTCAAGATATACATACATATAATCACTAACCAAAGAACATACATACATATATGTAGAAGAGACATGTCGTACAAGAAATGTGGGCACAAGAAAATAGGTGACATCTGGTCCAACAAAAGAGTAAGATATACATATGATGTCTTTTATTCGCTTACACTAAAGGAAACTGCTTTGGCTTACTCTCTTCCATATGATTTGTGCGATAGAACGGCATCGCTGTTTATTTTTATCTCGCTCGCACTTACTCTCAGTGCTCTCAATGCTCTATTTATGTCTACGTACCGTTTAAATGTTTATGTGTGTATGTGTCCGCACAAGCAAAAATGCCCACAAATTCAAATCATAACAAGTAAGAGGTTCTAGTCGGGACCTCCCAACTAGGGGATACCCTGAACCCTCCCAACTAGGGGATACCCTGAACCCTCTTCTTCCAACACCAAATGCAGCTCGCGCTACGCGCTCGTTTGATTTAGTAGTAATAAAGAAAAATTAAAATAAAAAAAAAAATATTGTTGTGCACCACTTACCACTGCCTCTACACAAGGGCCACTTTTGTGTTCCTTAACCGAGCTTAATGAAATTTTCGACAGTACATCTTATTGTAGAATAGAATAAGGAATATTTGTGTATTCTCAAAAATTCAATTGCATATAAATTGTGGCTTAAATTGATGGGCAATACAAGTTGGATAATTAACTTGATTTATAGCTTTGAGGTGGTAGCGGGGAGATGGCGATAGGTATAAAATGAAAGATACTTGATATATATATATACTATTCGAGAAGCTACATGTCAAGTTTGGTGACTCTAGCTCATATTATTGCCGAAATTGCTCAAAAAACAGTATTTTAATATCGATTTTTATCGATATCGACTCGGCTATTGATTCTGATCAATAATATATATACTTCATGCTTCCTTCTGCCTGTTACATACATTTGCACAAACACAATATTCCCTGTTTACCCATTTTTAATGGGTTCAGGGTATAAAAAGGGAGCGAGTCAAACGCGTGCCAATAATGATATTTTCTTTTGCGCCCATGATCTGCCCATTCACACACATTTGTGTCTGTGTGTGTGCTCGAAATTCAGAAATACCTAAATATTGTCAAAATTGCATCGGACAGGCAGGCAGGCACCAACAGGCACACATGCGCATAAATGCTTCTATTCATATACAAAATATGCAAATATGCAAGTGAATAGCAAGTCCAAAAACTTTTAAGTGGACACATGCCAACGCTTAGGTACCCTTTCCAATAATAACGAGCTAAAATGCAAGAATTTCGCATCGGTGGCAAACCCTTTCATTATTTCATATTACTCGTCCATTCAAATGGGAAGATATTTGAGAAAAATTGTATTTGTGGGCATTTTTGCTTGTGCGGACACATACACACATAAACATTTAAACGGTTCCTAGACATAAAGAGAGCATTGAGAGCACTGAGAGTAAGTGCGAGCGAGATAAAAATAATAAAGCAGTTTCCTGTAGTGTAAGCGAATAAAAGACATCATATGTATATCTTACCGATTTTTTAGTGCCCACATTTCTTGTACGGCATGTCCCATTTATATGTTCTTTGGTTAGTGACTATACTTACATATATCACTCACCATACAATGCATTGTATGGTTGGTGCTTATATCTATGTATGTACATATATCTAGTCGATACTCGATAAATTTTTCTCTTAATTTGTAAGTTACTTAATTTATTGGGTAATATCACTAACCAAATAACATATAGACCGGACAAACCGTACTTTTGATGGTGACATTCGTTATTTCTGCGGCTGGTCCAAACTCGCCTTCGTTTTTGTTCGGGTTCGAGACATGCCCGCATGCTCTCAGAGCAAGAGAGTAAGAATACATATGGCCTGCGTCGTGGAACGGAAACGCTGTCTTTTTACTCGCTCACTCTACAAGAAGCTGCTTTGGCGTACTGTTATCCATATGATTTGTGCGATAGAACGGCATCGCTGTTTTTTATCTCGCTCCCACTACAGGAAACTGCTTTGGCTTACTCGCAGTGCTCTTTCAATTTGTCTATGTACCGTTTAAATTTTTGTGTGTGTATGTGCCCGCACAAGCAAAAATGCCCACAAATTAAACTTTTCTCAAAAGTCGGTGGCATTTAAAAGTATTTGGACTTTTGGACTATCATTATTGGCACGCGTTTGAATTTATGAATGCATTAAATGCACACATGCCACCGCTTAGGTACCCTTTCCAACAATAACGAGCTAAATTGAAAGAATTTTGCATCGACGTGGCAAACCCTTTCGTTATTTCATATTACTCGCCCCCTCAAAAGGGAAGAAATGCCACCGACTTTTGAGAAAAGTTAATTTGTGGGCATTTTCGCTTTTGCGGACACATACACTCACAAACATTTAAACGCTACATAGACAAATTGAAAGATCACTGAGAGTAAGCCAAAGCAGTTTCCTGTAGAGTGAGCGAGTAAAAAGACAGCGATGCCGTTCTACGACACACGTCATATGTATTCTTACTCTCCTTCTGTGAGAGCATGCGGGCATGTCTCGAACCCGAACAAAAACGAAGGCGAGTTTGGACCAGCCGCAGAAATAACGAATGTCACCATCAAAAGTACGGTTTGTCCGGTCTATGTATATGTTATATGGTTAGTGGTTCAGGGTAGGTCCTATTAGGGCACTCTCGCCAAGAACACTTGTTTAACAAACTGTTCATCCAAATAGATATTATACGTCATGAAACCGTTAATAAGCTTTTAAAATTGTACGCAGAAGATTTCCTTTGTCTCAATTATGTATTCGAAAGTTTTATTTCTTTGAACTCTAGTAATTTAATATAACAAAAACACTTGAATACTGTTTTAGTTTTTTAAAAAAATTAAGTTATTGGCTTGGCCTTTTGTCCAAATTTTACAGTAAGTCATATTCATACATAGGAGCAATATGGCGAATGTATTAGTTGCAACGAGTCAGACCTGGCCTGTTCCTTTTATTTTTTACGTCACATATGTGAAGCAAATCAATAAACTATGTGAACGGAAAACAAACATACACATGTTTTCTTATATATACATACATACGTGTTCAACCCAACGCAAGAGGACAATAGAGAGAGAGAGAGAGGTAGAGAAAGAGAGAGATGTACTTTATGAATGCAATGTAGCATATATAAGAAGAGTGGGGAATGCGCAAATTTGACTTACATTTTGCAAGTTAGAATCTGTGCTTTCGTCACTAATTTTTACTTTACCGCAAAATGTGGAATATTATTGTACTAGCTTTAACATTAATGAAACTTGTTGATTCATTTACGCTGCAGACCGCCACCTGGACGAAATATGGAGTTTGTTAGGGCTGGTATCTTGGCGGAACTCTTCTTCACCTCATCAATTGCATGAAGCATGCGCTGCGGCTCAGTTAGAAACCAAATCCACAAGAGTTTGCTGTAGCGCCAAAGCTTTTCTTTGTCCTAAATTAAAAAAGCCAACTTTCAGAACTCTGGAATCACATGTTCCCTTGCTGACTTACCATACGCTCTAAGATCTTTTCCTGGAACTGAGTGCGCAAATGGCGAAGCGACTCTTCAAAAAGCATCTGCTGCTGTGCGGCATCAAACATGGGGCATAAATACTGAACGTGCTCGAACATAGGTTGATCTAGAGGCGAGTTGTAGACGAAAGGGCATAGCGTTTGCTCCAAACGCTTGCTGTAAATTTGGAATATGTCCTAGCTATATGAAAAAATCAAATAAATGATAAATGTTTTACTTACAGGTCGGCCAGCTGCTCGAGCGCGTGCACTTGTGACTTTCCGCTCAACATGCTTTGCAAGGAGTAGGCTAAAAGACGGCCAAACTTCTCATACTCATACAAGCAGATCTTAGCTTCAGCTGAGCGAACATTCTGGCCAAGGTGCGTGGACAGTTGACAAGCGATTTTATGTAACAATTGTGCATAGGTGCCTCTGGGGCAGGCATTTAGTGAACGCATTGTTTGTATACGTTGCCAACTCGTCTTCGCGTGACCACAAATACCTATGGAGCTGTCTGTACAGTTTCGTTTCTTTTCCAAGTCTAATTGTATAGCTATCCAAATAAGTTCGGCGTTGGATAGTGCATCGGAAATGACACTTGTCAGCTGCTTGTCATTTTCGCGGCGACGCAGAGCGCGTTCCAATTTCTGCTTTGTGTTTTCGTATAGGACCAGCTCCATGCGTTGATGTGTGTGCTGCTGTACGTGCGTGGCCAGGGCATTTACTAGAGTGTCGTGTGTGTTCTTTAGATGGTTTTCGTTGAGCAGTTGCAGGTCATGTGTTTCACGCACCATGTCAGCAAAGCTGATGCAGTGAATTTGATTCAGATCAATATGATCTATCAGTGCTTGTGTGGCTTTTGCCTTGGCCTTTTCCTTTATAAATTCGAGAGTGTAATATTGAATGCTGTGTGTGTAATGTAATTGTTTGTATGATTATTGTATTTTATATATGTATGTATACTCACGAGTTTTGTAAATTTTCTAGCTTGCTGTTAAAATGTTGCACGTCCACTTCAGCGCTCTCAAAATCTACGATTTCCTGTATTTTGAAGTTTTCCTTCATATACAGAGTAAAATACTGCATGAATGAGTCGCATTTAAGGAAATACTGGTCAAGCGGCATCTGGTGCATAAATAGCGGCGGCACTTGTGGTAAGGTGAAGCCCTTGTTGGTATCTTCACTGAGCTTACAATTCTCCCGCTGCAACTCCTCTAATTGGCGAGCTTTGGCTTGGCACTCGATTAATATTTCCCTTTCCGTATTGTGCAGTAACAGTATTGTAGACTCTAGCTCACTCAGATTGCTTATAAGACTGTGCTTTGTGTTCCTTTAACGAATGGTAACTGTAGTTCCTATTCTATATGGTCGTTTTGTAGATGTGAATAATAGTTGCTTACTGCATTTCGTCGATTAGTGTGGAATAATCATTGGTTGCCTCCTCAATTACATCTACTTCTGCAGCAAGCGCGTCTACATCTTGATTCGTGTACTTGAGCAGCCCAGGATTTTCAGATTCTATCTGCTGCAGTTTCAAAATCCTCTCAGATTCGTGTAGCCATTCTCCGCGCTGCATCATTTCGTCACGCTCCAACAACTCCCGTGCTGTGAGAATATTGGAGTCGGTAACATTCTCCGACAAGAAATTGAAAAACTTTTCAAACTGTTCGTCGTAAATTATCCATTGATTGGAGCTGTCGACGCCTAGTTTTTTAAGCATCTCCGAATTCTATTGGAGAAACAATATCTTCTATCATATGATCTTAGTAGATCTTAGTTACTTACGTTCAGCAAATCGCCCATCATCAAGAAGCGAAATACAGATAATTTCATACAATTAAATAGATCCTGCTGCCATACACAGAGCAATGCATTAGAGTTGCCGTGCAGGGTAATTATTTAGCTTAGTTTAGGCAAAGAAGTGATTATATTTTGTTAAATCTTAGTAGTTTTATACAAAAAATTGATTTTCGCTGGCGGGAAGCCTATTATTGTCAAAAAATAAATATTGAAGAATCAAGACGTCGTGCTAACAGTGCCAAACTGAGTTGACTATCGATAAAATGATGGGTATTGTTACTCTATGGGACATCGATTAATAACCTCTGTCCACTGACCACATCACTTACATATTTCTGAAAATGCCACATTTTAGCAAAATGTGTAAAATGCGGCCTGTACGTTTTCATATATGAAACCCCATTTTTGAAAAATGTGCAAATTCGCCCCGAAAAGTTCGTGATTTTGCGATGATTTATCGAGTTTTCTATCGCTGATATTGCAACGAAGGCAAGCGGTAACATTAAATTATAATTTTAAATTTTAATAATCCCACAGTTTTTAACATTTAAAGTTGGCCAAATCCTGCAAAGAGTCCATCAAATGGAGGCTTTAATAGCCTTTCTCCACTAGGCTTAAAAATTGTCACCTTTTCAAGTTTCACATATTGGTGTTCCACCGGTTTTCGGTAACATGTGAGTGGCAAAAGTACCGCTTCTTTAAATAAACAGCTGATCGAGTTGCTTAAGTTTACATAAGCGCCGCAAAGATTTCGTTCCAAAAGTCAAAAAAAACGGCCCCGAAGCAGGGGCTCCATTAAATGGACTCTTTGCAGGATTGGGCCAACTTTAAATGTTAAAAACTGTGGGTTTATTAATATTTAAAATTATAATTTAAAGTTACCGCTTGCCTTCGTTGCAATATCAGCTGTTTATGTGTTCAGTGGACAGAGGCTAAAAGATAAATAATTTTAAAAAACGATTATTGTTTACTTTCCATAGGAAAATTTAAGAGAATGAAGATTTTGGTCAAGTTTATGTAGCTCTACACAAGGAATCGATTTAAACAAAACTAAACTTTACGAAAATAAAACTTGTCCAACGTTTAATAATTGTCAACTATCGGTACAACTTCATGATGAGCAGATGAAATGTATCACCGGTAATTGTTCAGTTTAGGTCCCTTAGAAAAGATGGTCCAAGTGAGTCGGGCTTTGGTTTAATAAATTATGAATTTATTAAGATTATTTTTTTTATGACGGACTGTGCCAGCTTAATTATTTTTAAATAAATTAAACAATTAAAAATAGTTACCTATAAAAGTCATGAAGACATAGCTTCATGTTTTTTGTTGAATATACGAATTTGGTGTTCACGACAAAAAAACGTTTAACATATCATTGTTTATATAATTGCCATTATTTATATTATTACAAGCAAACTGAAGTTTAAAATTTTAACTGCAAATTTTAGAATTGCTCAATGTATGTAAAAGGCCTGTCGAACTACACGCGTCTCTAAATCTTATCGATATCCGAAGTGCTTTCGATAGTGAGAAACTATCATCTGATAGCTGTGTTACCGATTGGCTACGCTTTTTGTTGTTCTGTTGTGCAGTGAATTAACTTATTTGGTACTGTTATACTAATTCATTTCATATTAAATTTTTCTAGGCATTATGGATAATATTTGCCACCGGAAATCAATTCCTTGTGCAAAACTAAATTTATTAAGGTAGAACCTTGTTTTTTGGGTCGTTATCTATCGGAACTAAACTATTTTCAACCGCCCGAAATGAATTACTTGAGTTAAAGGAAATATAATATAAGCAATCCCGACCCGAATGTAAATGCTTCTTATTATATATATTATATTATTATACTTATTCAAATAAGCTTAAAACTATTCCAGACTTTCCGTTGTTTGTGAAGTTGGTCTCATACAAAATGTGCAGATGCTTACGCGCTCCGCAACTCTGCTGCCATTGTTGCCGCACTTGAGTTCCCACTTTTGCCGCATGCACGGCTGCCTGTCAGTTCCTGCAATGGAAATGTTGAAAAAAGTAAAAATTGTGAAATTAATTACAAATGTGCTTGCCTGCGTGCAATGTGCTGCGAAGATGTGTGATATAGCTACTGGCCAAATGTATTATTTCTATTTTGGATAATTTGCGGTTTACGGGCTCCGTCGGAATTAGACCGCGCAGTTCCTCGTATGCAGCATTCACGCTAAAGAAACGTGTGAAATAATTCTCCAATTAATCGTACTCTACTGTTACTGCAATGATGACCCACTTGAAAGTACGGTGCCGCTCCCGAGCGTTGATCTTCTGCCTGGGCACTGCTGGCTTGCGAGAATTGCAAATAAGTGAGTCCTCCGAATCAGCGCCGATATTGCTGCCACTGCCATTGCTATCGGCGTTGGCAAAAGACGATAGAAGATATGATGAAAATTCAAGCACCTCACTAGCGTTGATGGTAATGTCCATATCCATATCCATATCCATATTTAATATGTGTCCACATGAGTGTCCCTACATATGTGCACTGTATGGTTCCCAGAGTGCGAATGAGCCGACGGAAGTGAAGCAACCTCTTTGGTCAGCTCGACGAGCTCTGCTTTCCAGCTCAGCGGCAATAATTATGGGCTGCTGTTTAAAAAATTAAGTCATCAACGTCGCAAGTGACGACAAATTGTGCATGAACAGCAGCACCCAGGCAGCAATAAATAAAACGATACAACAAAACTAAATATCCCAACAGTACTTATGCGCACTTGTCAAAACAAACGCAATGCTTCTTCTCCCTCTTTCGCAAACGTCCGTGGTCGCAGATTGCTCGTCTCGCACTACAACACAAGGCGCGTGCTGTTAGCCCTGAAGCTGCGCCGCCGCCGCCTGCACAAGCATTTAAATTGTAACATTTTAATTGCTCGTAAGCCGCTTGCAATGGCGCGTCGCAGGATAAGCAACCGCAAATTGCTGCTTTATAATTTCAATGTTCATTTACATATATATGATAATTTAATTTAGCTTCTTCATTATGCTCTCGTCGATCTACGCTGCCCATCATCACCATTGCCAACTAACTACAAATTTAATTTCTTTGCATGTCTTCCAGCCCGAAACGGAAGTGGCACTTAAGTACGTTTAGCTGCTTCACACGCGTAGACCCCATGCAGTGCGTAACGTTGACTCTTTTGTTATTTAAGTACTTTGAATCGGGGCAAACTAATTTAGCGATATTAGCCTAAAACAAGAAAGGTTCTAGTCGGGAGCTCCCGACTAGGGGATACCCTGAACCCTCTTATTCCAACACCAAATACAGCTCACGCTACGCGCTCGTTTGCTTTAGTAGTAATAAAGATAAATTAAAACAAGTAAGAGGTTCTAGTCGGGAGCTCCCGACTAGAGGATGCCCTGAACCCTCTTCTTAAAACACCAAAAAGAAATCTGGTGTTTATTGTGTCACTTTGTGCTAAGCACGGGCCTCCTTTTTGAGGCCGGATACGACTCGAACACGAAACAGATTAAGGCTCGACCTAGCACGGTTTTTTCCAATATGCATACATACATTTTTATACCCTGAACCCATTGAAAATGGGTAAAAGGGAATAATGTATTTGTGCAAATGTATGTAACAGGCAGAAGGAAGCATCTCCTTCCCCATAAAGCCTATATATTCTTGATAAGCATCGGTTGCCGAGTCGATCTAGCCTTGTCCGTCTGTCTGTCCGTATGCATGAACGCAAGGATCTCAGAACCTATAAGAGCTAGAGACTTGAAATTTTAGCTGTAGGTCATCTTAGTGCCCGCGCAGATCGAGTTTGTTTCCGATATTCAATAACTTTCTCCGTTTCCAAGTAATCGATAAAAATTGATATTGAAATCCTGTTTTTTGAGCAATTTCGGCAAATAATATGAGCTAGAGTCACCAAAATTGACATGTAGCTTCAAGAATAGTATACATACATATATCAAGTATCTTTCATTTTATACCTATCGCCACCTGCCCGCTACCACTACTAAGCTATAAATCAAGGTAATAATCCAACTTGTATAGCCTATCAATTTAAGCCACAATTTATATGCAATTGACTTTTTTAAATTACACAAATATTCTATATTCTATTCTACAATAAGATGTACTGTTGAAAAGTTCGTTAAGATCTGTTAAGAAACACAAAAGTTATGTGCGCACGTGTTAGCAGCATAGCTGCTGCGCAAATTCCAAGAATTTCTGTATACATGTACACACACACATTCATGCGCGTCTCCTTCGAATTCTATCAACAGCATTGCAATTGCAATTGAATTGTTTCTGTGCTGTTATTTTAATTTGTTTTTTACTCAATATGATTCAATTATTAGTGTGGCTTTTGGGCAGAGGCGGCTGCAAGTAGTTGCGAGTTCGAAACCTACTAAGGAAACTAGTTTTCTTTTGTCTTTTGGCTGGTGTGGCTGTTGATTAGAGGCGGCAGCAAGTAATGCGGTCAGTTACGAGTTCGAACCCTGCCAAGGGAACTTTTTTTTTTAATATATCTTTAATACTTCTTAAGCGAACGAGCGCGTTGGTGTTGAAATAAGAGGGATCACGGTATCTCGGGAGCTCCCGACTAGAACCTCTTACTTGTTTTTATTTAATATTAGTTGTTCACAAGTTATTTATACCTTAATATTACAAACTCTGAATAGAAAAGATAACATCCGATTTGTTTATTGAATTATTTATACATTGAAATAGGGGATATGGATTTCTCACCATGTTAAAGACCATTCGTCTTTGATAATCAACTTCTGGCGGCGAGTCTAGCTATTTCGAAGCAGTTGATGGCATGGAGCTTTTTGTTCTATCATCTTTTCCAAAGTATGAATGTATGTTATTATTAAATTGCAAAATTAAAACAACATAACAAAAATTTTATATAATTATATTATTAAGTAGTATGTATAATATACGTATACATTTGTGAATATAATTATGTTACAGAATTTATTAAAAATATATTTATTTTTTTATTATTTATATTTTGCTGTTATTACCTCGATTTTTCTCGAAATTCAATTTTATATCCAAGAGGTGGTATCGTTTCCTTAAAATCGTCACCTTTCATATACTTTAAAGTGTCATATGTAAAATGTGCTTCCAAATAAACAAGAAACAGATTACAGAGATTATAAATTATGCAATGCGTACATGAAAATCAACGCCGATCTACTTGCATAAACATACACACATGCAGTTGCATCCATACATACATATGTACCTACATACATATGTATTTTCGTCGTCTTAACGGCGGCGTCTTTGCTATTTTCTAGCGCGCTTAATATCGTTACTATTCTACATCTGTGTGTGTGTACACACACTTTATATGTGTATGTATCTATATAATATACATACATTATGTATGTACATTTGTATATACATATATAAAATGTGTACACACATAAAACACAAAAAACCTTGCGGCAACAGTAAAACATGGTGGTGGGGGAGTGATGGTATGGGGCTGCATGTCTGCTGCAGGCGTGGGCGAATTAGTATTCATAGATGAGATACTGGACAAAACAGTTTATTTAGGCATATTAAAGGAAAACCTTAAAAAAAGCGCCGAAAACCTAAACTTACCATCAAACTTTACATTTCAACACGACAACGATCCCAAGAATTCGGCCCACGATGTTATAATGTGGCTGGCAAATAACAGCGCACATGTGTTGCCACATCCGCCACAATTCGGCGGATTTATGGTCGGGCGGTTTTCGCGAAAAGTATGAAACACAACTCAAAATAATTTTCACAAAGATCGTTGTCAATGAATTGGAACGCGAAACTTCACCCATCAAATCTTTGACCCCCATTTATACCAAGGAAGTTCCCAAACCCCCAACTTGGCCTGCACCACCATAATATAAGGTAAGTACAGTTGTGGTTAAAACTTTCGAGCTCTTTTGGTTTGGCCTGTGCGTTTTTAACTAATCAGTCAATCATATATCATCATATATATCAAAATGTATGTATATGTGTTTATTATACCCTGAACCCATTGAAAATGGGTAAAAAGGGTATAATGTATTTGTGCAACTGTATGTTATAGGCAGAAGGAAGCATCTCCGACCCCATAAAGTATATGTATTCTTGATCGGCATCAACAGCCGAGTCGATCTAGCCATGTCCGTCTGCCAGTCTGTCCGTCCGTCCGTCTGTATGTATGAACGCAAGGATCTCAGAGCCTATAAGAGCAAGAGACTACAGCTATTTTAGCTGTAGGTCCTCCATGCGCAGCACGAGTTTGTTTCCGATAATCGATAACTTACTTCATTTGCAAGCAATCGATAAAAGTCGATATCGAAAACCTGTTTTTAGAGCAAATTGGGTAAATAATAAGAGCTAGCGTCACCAAAGTTGATATGTTGCTTCTAGAATAGTTTATATATATATCAAGTATCTTTAACTTTTTACCTATCGCTACCACCACAAAGCTATAAATCAAGTTAATAATGCAACTTGTATTTCCCACCAATATAAGCCACAATTTAAATGCAATAGACTTCTTGCGAATGTACACATATTCTATGACACCATAAGATGTACTGTCGAAAATGTCAGTAAGATCGGTAAAGAAAAAACACAAAAGTTATGTCTTTTGGCTGCGCACGTGTTAGCAGGAGCTAGCGAAAATTGCAAGAAATTCTGTATACATGTTCACACACACATTCCTTAAATTCTATCAACAGCATTGCAATTGAGATTGTATTGTTTTCTGTGCTGCTATTTTAATCCGTTTTTATACCTTGTGCCCATTAAAAATGGGTAAACAGGGTATAATGTATTTGTGCAAATGTATGTAACAGGCAGAAGGAAGCATCTCCGACCCCATAAAGTATATATGAATATTCTTGATCAGCATCACTAGCCGAGTCGATCTAGCTATTCGTCTATCTGTCCGTCCGTCCGTCTGTCTGTCCGTCCGTATGTATGAACGCAAGGATCTCAGAACCTATAAGATAATAATTTTAGCTGTAGGTCCTCCTAGTCCCCGCGCAGATCGAGTTTGTTTCCGATATTCGATAACTTTCTCCGTTTCCAAGTAATCGATAAATCGATATCGAAATCCTGTTTTTTGAGCAATTTCGGCAAATAATATGAGCTAGAGTCATCAAACTTGACATGTAGCTTCAAGAATAGTATATATAAGTTAATTTTGAATACGTGTGTTTTATTCAGGAACAAATCTAAGACTAAACATTTGGGAACTTAAAGCGACCCTAGCTAGTTGTGGGTTCGTTGGCAGAGGCAGCGGCGACAAATCTGTAGCGACAGTTTGTTGGCAGAGTCAGCGGCGTCGGCGTAGCTGAACAGTGCGTTGGTGTTAAATTTGCATTGTTAGCTTTATGCTGGGCGACAAAACTACAATCGATGTCGCAATGGTCAATTCGCTTTGTCGGCAATACTTCGATTCGACGGATGTTTATGGAACTTGTTGTTTTAGGATTCTTTGGAATTAATTATTTGTGTCACAATGTTGTATGTGATGAGTGGTATTTTGTTGTTGAATTGTTCCGTTGAAATCGTTTAAAAGTACGATGCTGTCGTCTATTTCTTCCACCTTTGGTATGTGGTCAGCGTTGCTG